CCTCGATTGGTTCTTTTTTCAGAGAGATCTCCACACCAGTTCTACAGCCACGTAGGCCTCTAACAGCCACCTCTACGTCGGTCATTTTCCTTCTCGGGGTCATCCAGCTGTTTTTCTGGCTCGTGTTAGTTGTCAGGCCTGATTTTGCACAACGGATGTTTCATTTGGAGCCATTTCAGGGATATTCGAGAGGTTATCTGGCCTCTTATTTGTTCCTTATATCCGTGCACGGCTTATACCACGTAGTGGGAGCCAGCAATGTCAATCATTGCTTAAGCCCCGCCTTCACTAGTTACCGCGTCTTGATCAACATGCCGGTGTTGGTGATTTTGTTTTTTGTTGACCAGATCGAGCAAAACATCTTTGTTGTGTTGACTAGTTTCGATGTATTTTATTCTGTTGTGATAACTATCCCCGTGTGGCAAGAAAAGCGATTCCAGAACAACGAAACTGAGGTGATAGAAATTTGATTTGTTGGAAAATTCCAACAAACACAAAACTGTACTCACTCGTGAGACATCGATTTGACATACTGAGTTGATCACGGAGAGAGAAATTCGACATCTACAAGCAAAAATATATTATTTTTGTTCATCATATAAACACCATAGACAAGACAATTCGACAAATGACCTTGGATTGAGCGTGGTGAACGCTTTGCCATTCATTCATCAACCTGACAGAGTGGCGCGAAAGGCGAGTGACGTGTCAGCAGCTGATTGGCGATATCAAACACACGACAAAATGACGTTATTTTAAGTGTGCAGTCATGGCTTTTCTCGGGGCTGGAAATCCTTGTAAAACCGCAGTTCATATAAAAATTAATCAAATTAAACCATAACAAGATCTTAGTGAACAATTTTTTAAATGTTTTTTCTTTATACCCTCTATTACTTAAGATAACAAGGAATAAATCCATTTGCTAAAACGTTGTGTTGAAGGTTTCCTCCCTCGAAAAACTTTCTCAAATGAGGAATAGAGGGGACCCTGGGGACGAGGTTGAGAGAAATTGCGTTTCGCTTTTTCTACTTTGGGTCTCAATATGCCATACGTGTTTAACATCATTAAAAGTTGTATAACATTCTGTAACGTGACCTGAACGCCAGTTAAAAGTGCACAGGTTTCCTGAAATATTTGAAATTTGAGAATAACCTCTTTAAGTGCCTCCTTACTTGGTTTGAGTGCCTAAATTCATTTTTTTTTTTTGCGTCCGTGGAACAGACTTGTGCGCTGAACACAATAAATGAGAAGAAAAATGGAAGAGCTGGTGTTCGCTTAATATAGGTCCCGATACATACGGTCTCACAGCTAAAACTGTGGATAAGGTCTGTAATGGGTTGATTTTTGAAGAATGGAAGCTATCTACCTATGAATCACACAAATAGTGAATGATTAAATTATGTCATGAAAACAAAAGGATTGTTTTCATTTTCTTGAGATTTTGACTCCACAAACAAACTTTTGTTACCTCGTTCACAATCTCAACTCTCAATTGGTTGAGGTAATCCCAGCGCGCTCGGCAGCATTTTGTTTTGCTTTCCTATCAAAATTTCGGTAATTTATCAGGGAGCAGAAAATGTTGACATTCTGTTCTAAATCTGTTCTAAATTGATTCTACAAACTTAACGACGGGAACAACTTCCACGGGATAGAAGCTGGTAATGATAAGCAAAAACAATCAGTTATTATAAACTGCCAGCAAAATGCAGCTAACAAACTGTGAAAGCCCAGTTTATCTAACAAGTCGCTAATCCTTTGAATTCTACAGGGACCTCGCGCTCTTTCTTTGCGAATTCCACGAACTTAACACAAACTTTGTTTTTATCAAATGAATGAAGGGGTAAGTTTCTAAAGAAACTGTGGTGCTGCGTCGGTGGGAGAGTATAGCAGGTAATTTAGTGTTAACAACTGGGTTGAAAACGTAAATTAGCCACCGTAAAGAGTAAAAAAGCTGACGTTTCGAGCGTTAGCCCTTCGTCAGAGCTTATCACTGCTTTGTGAGGGGTTTAAAGCTGTGTCTCTGATGTTTGGTATTAATGCCATAAAATTTCGATTATTTGTCAAGGGAGGGGAAGATGTTGACGTTCTGTCCTGAATCTGTCCTAAATTGATTCTGCAAACTTAACTACGGGAGCTACTTCCACGGAATAGAAGCTGGTAATGATAAGCAAAAAAAATCAGTAATTATAACCTGCTAATAAAATGCAATTAACAAACTGTGAAAGCTTAATTTACATAACCTGTCGCGAATCCTTTGAATTCTACAAAGGCCTTGTGCTCTTTTTTCGCGAATTCCGCTAACTTAACGCAAACTTTGTTTTATCATAGCTTTTTAACGGGTTTAAAGCTGTGTCTAATACCTACTATGTTAAATGTTATGCCGAGACAAAAGAAAGTTCTTACTTCCAATACCTATTAAACAAGGTAGTCTTTGGCAGCAGGCCCTCAAACGTAGGAGACTTCGACTGTCACGCGCGGGCGAGAAGTCTCGCGCGAAACAGAACAGGAAGTTTACACCACCCGCGTGTCTACTCTCCAGAGTGGAATTTCTTTCTCGCTAGGAGGCCAATTTAAAGGAGAAAGAAAAGATTGGGGTGGGGGGGAAAGATGGAATGAATAGGACAATCTCCATCAGGAAAGACTTCGTGCCGGTAAAAAAAGAAAGACTTATTTTATGCAGAACTGGATAGCTAGTGACATAAACTCCGACTGATTAAATAGAGGGAAAGATGTTTTTCGTCTCGTCACGAGCTTGGGATAAAGAAAACGTTCTGAGTTCCCATGAGGAATCGAACCTCAGACCTTCGGGTTCCGCGCTCCGATGCTCTACCACTGAGCCACAGAGACTCTATGGGGAGCTGTTGGGTCTATACGGTCATGCTAAGTCGTTGCCTTCAAAATGGCCAACACACTAGTTAACTCAAAGGAGTCTTAGATTTTGTGGCAAATAGCAAGTAGGAAAATATAAAATATTCCGGTTATAACATCTTCAGCTAGCGTGTAATTTTACTATGACAATTTTTAAGCAAGCGTATCTAAAGCAAATGTTGTTGGTACTCAGAACGTTCCTCAATTTTTATTTTTTCTGCTTGTAGAGCCATGTTCATGAGAGTGCCCATCATAATCTCCAACTGGTTCAAATTCATGCTGTCCATTCCCCGCACGGAACCAATGACCAAAACAGAAAGATTCACTCAGTGGTCCTGCCTACTCGCCTATGTCATCGGGGGCGCCAGCTTCCTCTTCGCCCCTCAGCTTTGGGCCTTCATATTGCAGCTGGACCTTCAGGACCGTTCTGAGGGGTACCTTCGTTTGGCGGGGCTCGGAGTGATCGAAATTGGCCTCATTCTGATGATTGCAGCTCGCTCCAATCGTAAGATGTCCCCGCATCAGGAATGTCTGACCTCAGTCGTTGGTCGCTTGCTTTTTGTTGATTCAATACTTGTGATGATGATCCTCAGAAACATGCTGCCCCTCTCTTTCGCTCTGTTTTTCATGGTCCTTGACTCGTCTCTCGCTCTCATCACCCTAGTTATTTGGTGCCGTGAATCAAACAGAGCCTCGATTGGTTCCTTTTTTGTCGAGGTCTCCACACCAGTTCTACAGCCACGTAGGCCTCTAACAGCCACCTCTACGTTGGTCATTTTCCTTCTCGGAATCGTCCAGTTATTATTCTGGCTTATTTTAGTTGTCAGGCCTGATCTTGCACAGCAGATGTTCCATTTGGAGCTATTTCAAGGGTATTCGGGAGGTTATTTGGCCTCTTACTTGTTCCTTATATCCGTGCACGGCTTGTACCACGTAGTGGGAGCCAGCAATGTCAATCATTGCTTAAGCCCCGCCTTCATTAGTTACCGAATCTTGATCAACCTGCCAGCATTTGTTCTTTTGTTTCTTGTTGACCAGATCGAGAAAAACGTCTTTGTAGTTTTGATAAGTCTCGATGTGTTTTATTCGGTTGTAATTGCAATTCCTGTGTGGCAAGAAAGGCGATTCCAAGGCAAAGTTATTGAAATGAAACTTGATTAGATGGTAGTTTTTGTAATTGCAGCCGTCATTTGAACTCCAAACGCAACATGCGTTGTTTAAGAATACCATGTGATATAATTAGCTACCGAATGGGATCGTGCAACACAATTGATTAACAGCTCATGCTCTCATTCTTCCTGTTCTGAGAATTGAATGTTAGCCAAACGAATGCGTTCACATGCAAAGTACCAAAATAAACTGAAATTTTGGTAATTGAATTTTTTAGCGAGTTTTTGTTTGTTAAGTTCGCGCGGACTTTTAACATGGCGCGCATGCGCTCATTCTTCCTCCAGTTTGCTCTTTTTTCTGCGTGTTTGACTGGATGTTGAGTTTTCTTGCTTCTCAGTATGAAACGTCTTCATGAGAATGGTGCCCTTCGATGTGCGCAGGTAATTGCATTTATCTGTAATTCCTTCAGGACTGTTACTTGGCAACCATGCGCAATATTTGTCAACAAACTTTTAATGCTTTGAATTGTCTGCGCGTAAAACTGTCAACTTCAAAAACGGCGGTATGCTTTTTAAGTGATAAAATCAAACAACCGAAGTGTTTTTCACTGTTTGTATCGGCATCAGTTTTGTTGTCAACAAGGCGTGGCGACAACTTTGTATTCAAGTAGTTCGGTTTCGTAACAACTGTTTTGGAAATCGTTTCACGTAGTGTCAGTTGAAAGTCGCCGGTAACTCAAATATTTTGTTTGAACTTTGCGTCGCCCATCAGAGACGGCGGGCGAAGGTAATGATTCCAAACCCTTTTAAAAACCGTAAAGAATACTATGCTTAAAAAAAAAATAAGCTTCGTAATGGACAGTGAAAAATGTTATTTCGTAAGGAGAAGCTCTCAAAATAGTTGAAAAGTTTCCAAGTCTACATGCTAAATCTAAGTACCTCATCAGACAGCGTAGAGTGTTTTTAAAAGTAGAGAATCTTCAAGTATGATTTCTTTGTAAAATTAACAACACCGAAGTCTTCATTGTCGAAAAACCCTTTTTTTTAAAGCTATATTAGTTTGACTATTTATGATATTATGACAAATAACCAAAGCCTATTACGAAAGATTTTTTAAACACTAAAATTCATATTTATTCTTCTTAGCTGACACCTTACAAACCGTCTGCCTGATCGACCTCGCGGTAAATTCTTGTCTTGCCCCAGATATATTCTATATCTTTCTAGTACTTTTTGTAGCTTAAGACATTTTTCAAGTTACTCTCAAGTTCTGAGCAATTTATGTTTTTAAAAATATAAGAATCCGACAGTTAACAGTTTAGATTTGTTTGTAAATATAAGAGCAGAAACACTATGATATAAACAATGAAATATAAAAGATTTTCTTTCATGACCGAACCTATCAAACAAACAGTATTGAAAAAATTTAGTAATATTCTTTATTGAACATGACGTACACACACAATATAGCATTTGTGACACCGCACTTTTTGAGTTTATATTTCAATTTGGCTCGAAAACTACCTATTCTATCGCGAAGAGCGAGCCTTGTCATTCACGCACAAAAAAGCGCATTTTCAATAACAAAATTTAAACGTAACCAAGCGGTTGGATTTTATAATTTTCCAAATGCCCAGCAATATGTTTATTGTTTTTTATGTTAGCTATTGTTTGTCGTCACTTTGCCTTTGATCCATTCGTTTTCTCCTTTGGCACGTGGTACCAAGAATCTGGGCTGATTAACATTAGGGAGTTGGGTAGTTTTCACAAAGGGACAGGTAAATCGACCACCGTTAAGAGTTTAAAGGCTGACGTTTCAAGAGTTCACTCTTCTTTAGAGCGATCTGACGAAGAGCTAACGCTCGACACGTCAGCCTTTAAACTCTTAACGGTGGTCGATTTACGTTTTCAACTTAGTTGTTAACACTAAAATTACATGTTATACTCTCCCACAGACGCAGCACCACAGTGTCTTTAGAAACTTACCCCCTTTATACAAAGGGACAGTTTGTTTTAGATTCATTAAGAAATATTTTTTGAAAGAGATATTTTAAGTACAACTGCACTACGTATAATTACAAAAGTTTGACTCAATGATTTCTACATGACTTTGATTCATGTATGATTTCTATATTTATTGAAAAAACATGTCAAGACGTAATTTTAATTAAAACTCCATTGTAAATGAATATTTCAGTTACATAAAAGAACACGTAAAAAAATTTGTCATCATGTTAAACGAATCAACATTCAGGGGACTGGGTTCGAGTTTCAAACTATTAGTGTAGATCACAAACGTCTTTTTCTTTTGCCTATTGTTTTTATACAAACGACACTGATTACATTAAAAATTTTGCGTACGCTGTGCAAGGTAACGTTGCGTAACGTAGCAAGTATTTAACGTATTGTTTATCGAAGTTGTTAGTTTTACTCAGTAAGTCCGCTTGCGAACATATTCCATATTATATTTCTTGCAATCATATTTAATCGTACAGCACGTCGTGCAGCCGTTTCGCAGTAATTCAGCTGTAATTCTTCAGCATCGCAACAAATGTGAGTATTGGTATTTTGTAGGGCTTCATCGTTATTTTCGTTGTAATTTTCCTAAGTGTATTTAGTTTTGGCACATTTAGTTTAATTTAAATTGTAACAGGTTTTCGCTCGATATCTTGTTTGCAGTTTTAACCAATCCTACCAACTGGTATCTGAAATTATTGAGATAGAATGTATCACTAAGTCGTGTTAAAAACTGTTGGTATTCATTACTGAAAGTTAGTCGCCCATGGCAGCCACAAATAGAAACATAACAAAATTCTCTCACATTATCTCGATAATTAGAAAAAAATTTATTACAGAATTTGAAACTCAAACGCACATATGCTCCTAATCTTGGCATACTTTCTAGTTTCCTTCTGTTTACAATTGTACAGATTTCATCTTTGGAAAAGATGAAATCTTCAGTCGAAATATAAAGATAGCAAATCAAGTATATTCTTTACACATTGCACTCTGCCTGGTACCATCGCTCAGACTTAGTTGTTCAGCGACAATAGGCAATAATTTGACAAGTGCACACGCCCGGTCCTGAGCGAGTCCTGACGTCATCAACTTAGACTTACTCACTTAGACTCACCCCACTCCTCCCCAGGCCATGTGCAGACAAGAAAACAAGAGATTGGTTGTAGATATTCAATAGATAACCTTAAAAACGAGGCGGCAACTTTAGCTAGTGTGGGGTGTCGTGGGTGTGTTCTTGAGCTAAATTTTAAACAAGCGGAAGGGAAAAGAACCCACAGGAAAGCCAGTTATAAGGAACAAATATAGCGAACTGAAGAACAAATTATTTTGGGGAGTATACATGATAGTTTAACAAACTGCTTAATTTACAAATTCTCAGTAAAAAGGTTTTCAAAATGATATAAGCAACTATTTTAGACAAAAATACCCAGAAAGAAAATTTATGCAAATTATAAGAGTAGCAAAGATTGGCTTCCTAATATAAATACATAAGATCCTATTTTTACTAAGTGGCGCAATTCATGTTAGCGGTTTTTTTAAAGTGTAAAGGAATTTTTCATAAATGCTCGAGCGATGTTTTGCTAGCCTTGTGCTCATGTTTCATTTGCAGATTAAAACATTCTTTAGATATCATTAATTACTTTGAAATCTTGTTACAAACTGTATCTTATTTGTCATAAAGATCTGAAAAAAATTGTGGGTGGAAATCCACCGATTCGTGAAATAGAAATAATGCAGTTAAGTGTCTAGCTTCTTTGAGTATTAGATTTGAAATGGTATTATCGACCACTCATTGATCATAAATTCAGAAAATCAAGGTCATTCACTCTCGATGTATTAGCTGGCATCTTCATCGTCCTTCAAGTCAGTGAGGTAAATCACACTGAATGCAGTTGTTTACTCAAATAACGGCACTCCTGAACAAAAGCGAGATGAAAAGAAATTGAGTTTTGTGATGAAAGAACCTGTTTACGAAAGTCATTTAAAAAATTCTTGAGAAAAATCTTTAGACTTCAAATGACAGGATTCTTTCCAAGTCTCCATAGAAACCGTAATGGTCACTGTTTTTGGTGTTTTTGGTTAAATTGTTACATAAATAATAGTGTAATTAAATCTTATTTATGTAACTGTTCCCCACAAACTCACGCAAAATATATCAATATATAATTCCTGATGGTTTAAAGATGACACAATTAGTGTCATTCAAAAAGCAATACGAAGATTTTAACTTCCGAAATCGCCGAATTTATCGATAAAGAATACTGGCCTCAGCTGGAATGATTTTACAGAGACAGTGAAAATTCCAAACTAGGAGAAAGTTATGTGTTCCCACATATAAAAGTGGGATAGTATCACAAGCTATTTCGAGCACGTTTTATAAACTCTTAAGCTATTTTTAGCCTGAAACGTGTCGATGCGTGGTACACCGGCGTTGCTTTATAGTACAACTTACAAATAAACAAAGGAATGTTTGCAGTTATTTTTAATTACCAACGAATATCATAGAAAAACCCGGGTATAAGCCATGAGAATGTTGGCGCATTCCATCAACGTGTTTTGCCATCACTGACAAGTGGTTTTAATTTACTCTGTCACTTTTATCTGGAACTAAAGGAAGTGTTTAAGATCTTAGGTATCTTTCGAAACAAATAGAAGGTGTGTTTTGTAAAGAGCGTGGCCATATTGTGCAATATATTGCATTGCAGCACGTTTTACTCTCAAGCAGAGATACAGACACCGATCAAGCTTTCTGATTGGCTTATTATTGTGGAGGGAATTTCGTTCAAAGTTGGCAATACCAACGTGTCAAAGCAAGTCCCGCCGAAATTCTAAAAATATATTTTTAAATTAACAACAAGCTACCTTGCAAAATATCAGCTATGTAGTATAAATATTATTGTATAGAAATCTTCGTTGACGATGTGTACGTTTTGTTTGTAAATTTTGACGGCTGTTGTCATTGTTTAGGTGTCGGTTTGGCGGATGGATCAAAGAAGGTTTCGGTTTTTGCTTCTTTACGGCGTAGACTGTAAGGAAATCATCGAGTTTGCTGGAAAGTTTTGGAATTCCAGACTTAGCTTTCTAAGAGCTGTCTTCCGTAGCTCGATCACTTCATTATTAAAAGAAAATATGAAATTCTGTGAATGTTTTGATCTTGTTTTGAAGATTGTCGGGTTCTTTGCGACTCGTCGATGAAATAAACCACAAAAATCAACAGCTCAATAAGTTATCAGGTAGATACATGAAATTCGTGGAAAT